CGAGTGCAACAGAGTTTCCCCAGCTTTTGTCGCGTCCCCAGTACTTGTAGCACCCCAAGCTCTGGCAAATACCCCGCATTCCTAAGAGATGCTCTTTTGATACCCGGAATCTTTCTGCCACGCCCGTCGTTTCACCGCAACTCAACCCGGTACGCCCCACTGCCCGCAATCAGCCGCCACGTGATGCCCCAAGGGCCACATTCCCATCAGGCAGCCACACTCCCCGCGGTCAGCAACCACGTAATGCCCCACGGGGCATATTCCCATCAAACAACCACGTGGCGCCTCCACGCGCTCCTCCTGACCCTGTCCCACAGCGCCCTATGGCAGGCCGCACGGTGGGCAACACCCCTCCATACAAAACGGCTCCATCGCACATAAAATGCCATATCTTGCTCACTAAAGATCCGTTTGAGGTGGAATCTCTCGCAAATGATTTCTTTAACAAGTTTGCCTTGCAACTGATTGATCCTTTCAAATCCAGACTCGATCAACTTTCACAAGTCCACTTTTCTGACCGATGGCTCCCAGCCTTCCGTGACAAATCATCTTGCTCTGACCTAGGAGCACACTTGTGAGCAGCTTGCATACCACAGGATGCCAGAATTCTCCAGCACCATGCCAGAATGACAAATCCAGTTGCAGTACATTGCATGCCTCTCGCATCAGCCCTGCGACCTCCCGTTCCGCACATCCACGGCGCCCACGCTCGCTCAAACTCACGGCGCTCCGCCGCACAGCCGACCACGTAGGTTGAAAGGTCTGCCCGTTCGCCAGAAAAAAACCCCGCAGCTTCAACCTCGATCCGTCTCAATCGGCGATTCGGCCGATGTGCCTGCCATCCCCCATCGGCAGCACCATGGACACCCACGGCCGTCACGGCTCGATTAACGGGCATTGCTCGGAAAGACCGACGCAGCCCGACTCGCCAGGCCTTTCTACGACCAATGCGCCCGGTCATGCACTGCTGTATACCTTGCCAAAGCAAACGCACGTGCCCAACAGCGACCTGCGTGCTTCTCAGTACTTCACGGTGTTTTCCAAACGTGTCTGACGCCGGTATGCCCTTGACGTGCGCTGCCATGTACTGAAGCTGCGTCCGGCATCACAACTGTATTGCTTTAGGGTTTTTGGGCATGTAGTGAGGCTTCCATGGTCTCTCTTTGTCACTCAAGTCATCTCTGTGCATTCTGAGTGCATTGGGCTTGGATTGCGAGAAAATTATAGAGCATCCCTGATTGACGTTTGGGGGTTTCTGCCTCATTGAGCGCCAACCTACTGGATGATCATCAGTGTGGCGAAGGTGCCGAGGCTGTCGACATCCCCTCTGCACCATATCTGGACCTCACGGGTCGCCAGCTGAATGATATCATTAATTTACCAACTTCTCGATGAGCCCTATTAATTGGCGACCCGAACAGTACGGAATTTGGCAGGATGGTGCACACAGCAGCAAAGGACGCCAGCAGCATCGTCCCCATAGAGAGCTCGCGGAAAAAGCATGAAGCTGAATCGCCACCTGGGGAACTGTGCCATATTCGCCACGCCGGGCGTTTTTTCCTGGGCAAAAGAAGTCGCAACGGCTCAAATGCTGAAACTGAACATTGTGGAGTTTTCAAGCGTGCGCTGGACCTGACCCTGTCTGGAGATGCCGTGGAGGCAGCGTGACGAATGAACTGCCAAAGCTGAAGTGCCCCGCCCACCTCGATCTGCAATACTGCCGCCAAGTCTCAGTGAAGGTCTCACGCAATTGCGGTGCATTCAAGCCCCTTGAAGGAAGTATGCTTGGGGATTAACTTCACGGAATAGCAGTCAAAACCACTGCTTCATGGGCATGGCCAGCTGTCGATGTACCACTCTTTTGAAACAAGGGAGTGGTCACAGGAGTTGAAGGCCGCCCAGTCACGCCCCTCGACCACCATTTCTTAAAAATTAGAAACCTTGCTGATCCCGGCAGGGAGGTATGACCTCCCTGACTAAAACCCGGTATTACCTTCCCGGTCAAATTGTCAGCTGCATATTTTACTGGAGAAAGGCGCTCCCCATGGTCAGCTCACTGACAATCGAAGTTCTGCGCGAATCATAGGCGGCCAATGAGATCTAGAACCCGACGGTTGCTAGTTCCACAGAAGCGACTGCCGATACTGCGAAAGAAGCATCGCTGCAAGCAAGGGGAGCGGAGACAGAAGCAGAAAGTGGTTTGGCCTTGCTGCGACGGAAGAACCTCGAGCGCCCCTCCCTCAATGTCATGCCCTCGGCAGCCGCTTCGTCCCCCATTCCATCGGAAGCGCCAACTCTCCCGGAGTTCAGGCAATTTGATCCCTGCCTCGCGGAAATCGCCTCCATTCTTGGCCAAGAGCAGCCCACGATCTCTGGACGTTCAACTGCGGCGCAGCTGCCCGGGGAAGAGGGCCCGGCAGCCGCGGCGTCATCGCCGGACACCCAGTCTTCCATGCGCCTCTGCGAGCCGCTCCCAGGAGCACAAGTCAACTCAGCGACAGCCTTTTCTGGCGCGCCCGCAGGTCAACACGCCGCTGACCATCCGCACCAAGCCCACCAAGTGAAGCTTCTTGGGAGTCGCGCCGCCCCCCCTTGCTCCACTGAGCCAACCACCAGGTGCCCCGACTGCGCCGCGCAATGTACTGTGGCCCGTTTCGCCCCAAAACCAGGTCCCCTGAATCCCGGCTCGCGCAGTAGTGTGCACGGCTCTCTGCAGCCGAGGGCTTGGCCCAGGCGTAGCCGGCCCGCGCCCGCCCAGCGCCGCCCGCGCCCACCCCTGCCGAACCGCGAACCGCTCCGCTTCCGGCACCTCTCTCCGTCACCCTCGACCGGTGTTTCGGAAGGGCCTCAGGCGGGCCAATCTTTTGCCCAAAGGGCCACAGGGGGGCTGGTCATCGCGCCGTTCGAGCCGCACGGTGATCCCCCCCCTCCCCCCCGGCGTGGAACTGGAAAGGCCCCCTTGCCGGCCGATCGGGCCCTGCCCTCGCGCAGCAATCGCCGGCGGCTGGGCCGGTTTCCCCCCCCCCCTGGCGGTTTTCTGGGGCCCGCCTGTGGAGGCAGTGTGGGGCAGCGGCGGGCAGGCCCGGTGAAAGGTGGCAATGGGGGAGGCCAGCGTCCCCGGCACCCGGGCGGCCGGCCTGGCGGACGCGGCGCGCGGTGACCTCGTGGCGCGCATGGCCGACAACATAGCGGCGCTGATGTTCCACATGTTGGTGGGTTGGTTGGAAACGGGGTTGGGGCAATGTGGATGGCTGTTGGAGGCGGGGCAGGCTTGTGGCTGGTGAGGGAGGGCGAACGTAGGGAGGGGAGGGGGGCATTTCGTGAGCGCTGAGGCATCGGCAATGGATTCGGCGCAACTGGGCTTGCTGACGGGATGGTTGGGCGACAAGGGAGGGGGGGCCGGCGCGGCGGAGGTGTTCTTGAGTGGGGATCTGTTTTGATTCTCGAAGGTGGGCGTTGTGCGGTAGACATGGTGTTCGTGCGGGCCCTGCACGCATGGGCTGGGATCTGCAGGTCGATCTCTGTAGGGCGGCGGTCGACCGCTCAGCGTGTTTTGGTTTTGTGCGCGCAGGGAGCGAAATTTGGACTGAGGATCGAGTTTGCGGAGTGCTGGGAGCTGGCCAGCAAGATCGAGGAGGCTGCGTATGCACAGGCCGTGAGTGTGGATGGGTCGCCATTTCCTATGACATTTCGCCACGCTGCACGCCAGTGCTCTTCCAATGTTTTGTTTGCGCTTGGCTAGTGTGGAACTGCGGCCATGGTGTCACCGACATTTGCAGATTCTGAAGCACAGCATGCTGTTTTCAGTAGCTTGGACAATAATGCATGCATGGTGGTGAACACTGCTGCGCCCATTGGGAAGAAGTTTGTGTTGAGGGGCCTGCTTGGGACTGAGATTTATATTCCATTGGGGAGGGATCGGTCGCGTTACACATGTGGTCACACATCCACTCCGGAAGCAAAATCCCTGCCACGATGCGCAGCAGGTTAAAGATTCGGGCATGAGTGGTGTCGCCCCAGCAATCGACAAACAGGTGTACATCCAAGAGGCTGCTCAGTTACTGGTCGCGGCCGTGGAGGAGAAGGAACAGGAGGCGTCAGCAGGGGCCTCTGGCCGCGGGACGTCAGGCAGCCTGGATCTCATGGAAGAGATGGACCTGGTACCCATCGAGGGCCTCAAGCCCCTGCAGACTAGTCTGTCCTCAAAACTGCGGAGTGTGACTGAACCCAGCACTGTGTGGGGCTGGCTGGAGCCAGGTGCGTAAGCCATTTGAATACATGTCCCTCAGGATGCAATGAGCTGGCTGGAGCCAGGTGGCTGGATTGTGGATGAAATTTGTAGATTCCACAATTGGAATGATGCAAGAAGAGCGAGTCTGCTGTTGTATCCTTCACCATTGTCCAGAGCGCTGACATGCTGTGGTTCTGGGACTAATTGTGGTGCCCTGTGGAAGTCCTTGATGACCACATTTGTCTAACCGCGAGTGTACGCTGTTCAATTGCCTGTGAGTAGTGTTGTTGCAGGAAGCCAAAAGTCTTGGACGTTTTTGTGCCTGTCTGGCATACATGTGGAGTGCTGGCGATGATATTGGTGCTGTTTCCTTTGCAGGCTCCAGGGTGTTGCCGTTTGTGGTGTTGAAGGGTACTGGAGTGGTCATTGGGAGGGGCCGTGAGGTCTTCGAGGCCCGCTTAAGGGCCTTGGAGACCATGTCGCCTGCCATGAATGCAGGCAATGTTCCACAGGGAATGAGCAAGAGGTAAAGCATTTACAACCAGAAAAGCAGCTGAATCAACAGTCTATTCCTCTTGTAGCAATATTTTACAGTTGGGCGTGCCACGCAGCATCCATGAAATGGCATCTGTCACAGCATGCATGGCTTTTTAACCCTGTTGAGGCAAGGCACCTGCTCTGTATCACTGCAACCATTATTCTTGTATGGATAGTAGCTGCAGCCCTGGAATGAAGATTCTTGGACCAGCTGTTTGGCTTCTATTCTAGTGAACAGTGGCTGAACCAGGTCGTGACTCCTAGTGATAGTCGTTGCTATCATCAGGAGTCATATAGACAAGGGAACAGGCATTTTGCCGTGCAAGGATGCAGTGGTGTGCTCTGGCTCAGGCTAAGCCTCACATTCTGTAACATAAACTAACTGTTTGACATCCTATCAGGATGTCAGAGGCCATGGCAAACCACATGGCATTTGTTGAGGTTGCGGATGGGAGAGTCAGCAGGCTCCACTGCCTGGTGAGCCAGCAACTAGCCCACGGGGAGAAGGTCCCAATCCTTGAGGTGAGCAGAAGGATAGCATTTTGGCAGAATTACCTGTCGGTGGAGATGGTACTGGTAGCTATTAGGGTGCCCAAATATTTGCACAGTTCGTTTGTCACAACAATATCCTTGGCTGCCAGGTCACCTGTAGTGCGATGTTGGGCCCATGACTGCCAAAGAGTGCTGATCATGGCATGTGTGGGAAGTGCATGCCTGCTTTTGGCATTGGAGCTCCTCCCTTCTACATGTCACTTCCTTGTTCTACAGAACCTGTCAGCTTGTTAGAAAACACCCGTTTCACTGCATTCCTGCCAACTTGTGCATCGAGGCTGTTTGTCCCTAATGACCCCATGCGTAACATCCATCAGGACTGCAGCAGCAATGGAACCTTTGTCAACGGCAAGAAGGTCGGACGGGGAAAGAGCATTCCACTGAAGGATGGGGACAGGATGTCATTGGTCCTGTCTGTTGCACCTTTGGTGGAGCAGTACTTCATGTACCATGAGGGGAATCCACAAGATACAGACATATCCAAGGGTCAATGGGTCGGTGGCGAAGGTAAAACTGGTTGCTTTTTCTCAGTCAGAATCCAATAGCTTGGTTCCTATCACCTTGGCAGCCCTGGGCTTCCGCATACTGCAGAAATCCATTGTTGAGCGAAGGTGTCAAAATGTGGCCAAACATCGCTGTAGCACCTGGTAGGCGATCCCAGGTACAGTTCACAAGTGCAAGAGATGGTCACGGGCAGAATGTGTTCCTAGTTTTCAACAGCATTTCCTTGCAGCATATTCACACTCTGCCAGCTGCAAAGGCATCCTTTCACCACTGCCCTCCCTTTGGGTACGTTACCCTGCAAACCTCACCTCTCTATCCAGTTACAGCGCACACCGCACCCTTCGTAATGGTGGAATTCATTGATTGCCTCGATGCGAAAGAATGGAAGGGAGGCAATGAAGCCACCAGCTTCCTAGGAACAGTTATGTTGTTGGATGTAAGACAGGTGGGTACCAGTTCCAGCTGCTCATCAGTGAAATGATTGCTGTGCTGCTGTTGTTCTAGCCGTGGGCTCGAGCTCGCCACTCACCCCCCCACGCGGCCGGCCACAGCCCTCCCAAGCCCTGTCCCGGTCCACCACCAGCAGGTACACCACTGCCGAGCAGTCCACCCTGGACGACTTTCAGTGCCAGATCTGCCTGGGAACCCTGAGGTGTTGTGTGGCGATCGAGCCCTGCGGCCACAACTTCTGTGCCTGCTGCTTGTCGCAGTATTTTGGCACGCAGTTGGAGAATGGGGTACCACACATGTGCCCACTCAGGTGCCCAGACCCAGAGCGGGTTGTGTTGAATGACACTGTGCGAAACCTGGTGGACAACTTGGAGCGGTCTTTGAGATTGAAGAAGGGTACCCGGGAGGCGTCCAAAGAGGATTTGGCTGGACAAGAAGCTGAAGCGAGCGGACGGGCATCAGGGCTTGCAGGTATGGGATGAAACTCCAATTTTCATGCATACCAGGAAAAAGTGGCCGAATCACCTGCCAGGTGATGTGGAGCCAGTGGCACTTTTTCCAGCGTTGATGCAGAATTCAATGCCTTCACCGCCTTGGGAAGTGCAGGGGCTTACCTTGTAAAATTTGACACTGTTGCCAAGTGATGCCAATGCAATTTCGTTGTCCCAAATTCAATTTGAAGCGGATACTCATTCAGAATTCAGAGAAGGCATGAAATGCAAAAGGATATATGTGTTTGGACATCATCAGGGCTGCTCTTTCTTGGACGTTCACTACCTGCTGACAGCTGTGGCCAGTGATATGTTGGGCAGATTGTAGCCCAGTGTTTGAGGGTTTGGCATTCCCAGATGTTGGATACAGATATGTGGTACTACCAAATAAGTATGACCTCAGACCCTGGGATTTGAGGTGACGGGGTGTGTTTGCTGAGATTTGTGCTGCTGACCTACCAACTGCAATTGTTCTATCCTCCCTGTGCTATCCTCTCAAAGCACAGCGCAGGCAATTCTGTGTGCCATAGACAGTTGGCGATGTCAGCCATTCTGGGTTACAGCTGCTAAGTGGAGGTCTGCCCAGAGCTCAGCATAAAACAAGCCACCTGCCGCATCACTGCTTCACCACTGTGTGCAACAGCGCAAATGGGGTTGGTGTGAGGCGCATCTGGCTCCTGTTCAGCGTGAGTGCATGCGATGTTACAGGAGGGTGAATGTTCTCTTTCTTGTAGCTGCAGATGAAGCTGACAACACAATGTCTGTACTGTGCCCTCTCAATGATGACGACCTTCCTGTCGATGCTGTCAGCCTGAAATCTCGGCAAGTGGATGTGACCCTCCGGAGGTTAGGTTCTCCCAGCACATCTGTAGACGATCAGTTGGTTTGCCTGGAGGTGCTAGCCAGGCTTGCATGGAGCGATGACTCAGTCAGGGAAGAGGTCGCCAACACTGGTGGCATTGACCTCATCATCAAGGTAGGGGATCCGCGCAGCAGCAAAGTCTCTGTTGTCCAGTTGCTTTTGCATGGCAAAAGCAAGCAGGACAGTGTCATGCTACTGCATGACACCTTGAGGGCGATGATGGGCAATTATGCATCCAAAACTCCCTGCAGAGCTATGCATTCCTTGGATTGCATTTGTTACATGGGGTATATGGGACCCCCACACAATGTAGATGTTGTCAAGCAGTGTTCCTGTTGTTTCATGACTGTCCACACACCACACACCACCCATGTGCACTTTGTGCAGTACCCACACAGCAAGTGTGGTCAGCAGAAGGCTGTGCTGGTTGCCAACATTCAAATCAGGAAAAAGGACTTGTTTGCCTGGGCTAGGATATATGTGGGCTGGCTTTTGTTGGCAACAACTCTTTCGCCAGAGAGCATATCATGTCTGTCAACAAAGAGGCAGGCGATGATGCACCATATGCACAGAAAGATGGCAAAGAGAGTGCTACTAGTGGAATTTGCAGTGCAGCTTCTGTGATTTTCATGTGTGGACTCCCTTCAGCTTTTCCATGTTCAAATTCTACTGCAGCAGATGCAGCACTGTGGACGGTGGTTGTGCTTTTTTTGCACCAGTGTTGAATCCTTTTGGTTTTTGCAGATTATGCGACAAAAGCCAAACAATGAAGGAATTCAGTGCAACTGCTGCCTTGCTTTGATGTCACTCGTTCGCGGGGAAGGAGAGGTATGCCAAGCGAACCAGTGGAATTTAGCGAAGGCCGGAGCAGTGGAGGCAATGGCAGATGCAATGAGGCTGTTCAGGGACCACCCTATGGTGCAGCTCAGTGCATTGCTGTGCTTCATTCCACTATCCCTCGAAAACTCCATGATGCAGGTGCTGATGCAGTCTTGCATGACTCTATTACACCTGTTTCACTACCATTGGAGCTTGCGCTGTACTATTCTCGAGCTGATCATCTGCAGAGCATACACTTGTGGGCACTGTTTCTGGCAGGAAAATGTAACCGAATTCTAAGGTGTCTAATTGCCTTGATGGCTGTAAACAAGTGCAGCTCTGAATATGCTGCCTTTCCAGCAACTTCAAATGTGTCATTCGACACAGTTGTCCTGCAGACTTCTGAGGGAGGGGTTAAGTATATTGTTTGGAGCCTAAGATTGCATTGGCAGCTGCTGCATTCTACATTTGTTTGCACATTTGATGGTTGCAGATTAATGAGGAACCACTGCGTAGGCTATGCTTTGGTCAGGTGTGCCAGGATATACTGTGTTGATGGCTCATAGCATATGTCAAAGTCGGATTCGTTGTTCAAAGTATGGCAGATGTTTGTCTTTGTGGTTTTGTACTATGTTTCACTCTCATCACATCTGCATTTGCTTATACCTGAAGTGTTTTTGTCTCTCTTCCGCAAGAAGTGCAGTCATTTGTTGTCTGCTGCTGTGTGTTGCTGGATTTGATACACAGCTGCAGGACTAACCAGCCGAATGGTTCAAATCGCAGCTGTGCAAATCGCAAACCTTGCTCCATGGTGCACCATGTAGCTCTGCAGAGCCTCTGGAACCAGATCATCGCTGAATCCAATTCTCTGTTTTTCATTTGTCAATCAAATTGCACGAGCCTCTGAGTTCTCCACAGGCTACAGTTGCTTATAGCATGCATGCACAATCTAGCCCATCTGTATCAACAAGCAGAGATATTTCTTCCGGCTGGTTGGCAGCATCTAGCAGGCTTGCTCAAAGGTAATGTGACAGCAGATGTTGTGCTGGCATATTGCACTTTGCATTCTTGAGAGGTCCAGTGCGCATGTCCACAAATGAAATGGTTGGGATTTTGCTGCAAGAGAGAATCAAAAGCTGATCATCCCTTGATAACCTTTTGCATTGGCAGGCACACCTGTGTCAGCTCGTCCTGTCTGATGTGCTGCTGGCCCTTGACAACCATCTTACTGAGGCAGACATTCAGTGCAAAGGCCTGGTAGTGCTGGGAGTGATGGCACAGGTGTGTGCAAAAGTATTGGGCAGATGCTGCCACAGCTGCTTGGAATTTGTGTGAAGATATGATTGTGTGCATGTGTGTTGGGCCTTTGGCAACCTTCATCGAAATGGTAAATTATGGCCCTGGAGAGCTGCATGATGAGCGATGAACATTTCATGGGTGTCTGTGCAGATCGTGCTGAATCCAAGGGCACGCAGTTTGTTGGGTTTACTGTGCTGCCACGCAAGTGCTCATGAATTCCTTGCACATTTTACGAGTTTGACTCAGTGCAAGGCTCGAACAATCTACAGACTTGCAGCCCCGTAGTGTTGTCGCTGAGGAAGTGGAATGACCCCGCTGCCAGCAATAGTCAGCAATGAAGGAATGCCTACCAAGATTTACCAACAGGACAGGCCACTGCAGCGCACCAGCACTCTGTGGATCTGCTCTCCAGTCGCAAGGAATCCTGCAACACATGGTTGTGTTGTGTGTAGTTCTGTTGATCTGTTGCAACTCTTGTCGTTCTACCCAGTCTGGCCCTTTTAAGCAACGAGGCTATTTTTGGCAACGTGGCAGGCTTTCTAGCAACTTGAGCAGGTTCCAACTATGGAACATTAAGCACCAGGTGGACCACCTTGTAGTCACAAAAGTGTGGTTCAACATGGAATTTAATGTTACTATTGAATCTCCACAGTTTGCATGCAAGGAATCACGCAATGCTTGAACGTATCTGAAGCCTTTGGTTGCTATGCTTAGGGTGACGATGCGATGCACGACTCTATCCGGCAGCGTTTGCTGGAGGCCAACGCGCACAGCCGTGTCTCTAAGTCCCTCAAGGCCTTCGGCTCCGACAACGACGAGGTGCTGTGGGCAGGGCTGTTCGCTCTTGCCACCCTTGCCCGAGATGGCAGCACGATGTTCAAAACTGCTTGCAGGGCACTGGCCCAGTCCCGCCTCCTCACAGTGCTGAAGTCGGTCCTGGAGGCCTACACCAAGTCCATCCAGGATGAGGGGATCGAAGAGGACGAGACGATTGTGACAGCAGGGGAGTATCTTGTCTCCGTAATATCCGAGGCACGTGACCAGCTGATGAAGGAATGGCAACAAGTCATTCTGGGTGGCGTGATGTGCTGCGTGGCATCAAGTGCTGTCATTGGATGGTACCTATTTCGGCGGCGGCGGTGAGAACACAAACTCATTTTTCTCTGCCATCCATGGCTGTTGGTGATAGTTCCATTGGGCCAGGAATTGTGCCAGTCAGCGGGTGCAGAGTTGGTGGGAGGGGGAGCTGGAGGGTGGTTTGCTGGCCTGTGGGGCACGCTGGTGAGAACCTAGAGCCGCCTTGAATGGACAGATGACTGGAGCATTTGCATGTGCATAAGTGCCATGGGGGCAAGGGAGATATTACGTGGCCATGCTAAGGAGGGGAAGCAAGGAATGGTCACTTGAGAGTCGAGTGGACACAGGCTATGAGGGCATGTGATTGGTCCTGTGGGGTTTCAGTGCACGCCCCTCCCCCCCAGACAGCAATGAAGGTAGGGCAGTGCACTGACACCAGCAGCTCCCGTGCTTTACTTGCTGCCCATGGAATGTCATCTGTATGTTGTGCCAATTGCTGCAATACAGGCGATTGGCGCTGTGATAATTGTTGTGACGCTTGCACGGGAGGTTGTCCAACATGACAGGGGTGCAGAGGCCCAACAGTGGGATTTCCAATCTGACCAAAGAACCTTTGGTGCGCAGAATATTGTGCCCATCGCTGTGCTAGTATCCACTGCAAATAGATGTGCCGCTGCTGCAGGAATTCGTTTGCCAGTGGTGTGGCAGCCGCCGCTGGTCGGACTGGCGGCTGTGGAATAAATGTATCCGCTGTTGGTGGCGCACGAGTAGGAGGCCAAAAAGGCGTTCGGTGTGAAAAATGGGTTTGTATTGCATGAAATTCGCGTCTTGCGGGAATATATCCGATGGGATTTGGACCCCCACTGGGCCCCTGCGGGCCAATTCCCATGTCAGAATATTGATGTTCTCTCATATCACCTGTGGGCACTGTCCATAGTGCAGGCTGCAACTGTGGTGGTTGCCTCATGGGGCCAGAATTCCTTTCGGCTGGCTGCTCTTCGTGGCGTCAACGCCCTGAGCCGGATTACTAGGAGATCACCATCCAGGCTATGACAATGCACCACAACTATTTCAGGACTGATTGACAATCGCGCCAATGGCAGGCATCTCTGTGCACACTGCCTGTCCTATCCACCACATCATTCGCTGATCTATGCGTCTCCTCTGGCTCTGACACCCTCGTCAACTTTCCGTATCATATGACTGGGTCGCTTTCAGCTCGGCATTCCATGCTCTGGGCCCGGGTGCCCTGGCGCTCTGATGCGCACCCCAGACTGCTATCCCAAGCTAGCCAACCTGCCTCACACACATGCCACGCACCAGCCAAGAGAACAGACAACTGCTGCAGTTAGAACGCAGCTCTAAAGCCCTCGGTCCCCACCTCCCTTCCAGCACTTCCCTAATAATCGTCCCTTTGCACCGATCAGCAGAGTTGGGCTGTGTGCATTCTTGTCTTGTGCAGAAGACGTAGCTTTCAGGCCGCTTGTGGCGCCCGCCTCCGCTGATCGCCGATGGCGCCGATGGCTGAGTCCTGGGTTTTCACAGCAGACATCGATGTTTGCGGGCCCCTCGGCTGCACCCAGCATGGCGCCGTTTCTGTGCATCAAGGCAGTGCGGTCGCTGGACGCGGCGCCACCGTGTTTTCCCACTTGTGCAGCCACATGCTCGTACGAAAACCAAGTAAAGAAGGTGGAAAACGGGGCAATGCTCTGGAAAGGTGGGGATGGGGGTGTTGGAGGGCGCCGCAACACGGCACCGCGGTTTTATACACTCCCATATGAATGTGTATCCCCACTGCATGTTGCACTGTGAACTCTCATTTGTGTATGTTGTGAGTTGCCGTCCCGCGAAATCGGCATCTTGATTGCGTTTGTGTGCATTCAAGTCTGCCAAAGCTATTCTGATATCGAACAAGAACTGGCAAGCAATGGGGTCCAATTCCTACACATATCTTGCAAAATACTTCGAAAACAGCGTCAATTCGGACAATGTCCGAATGACGTCCAAAGGCAAGAAAATGCCTGGAACTTGCTTCCATTCCTTGCCGTTGTGCGATCACAGCCGCGCAGGCGCTGACCTAATTCATGGTTGCCCCGAACAGCTGGCCCTGGTCCATTCTGTTCGAGCGCCTGCCAGTGGTATCTTTGAATCTCCCTGTGCCCTGGTGGAGGTATGGTGATCGCTGTCGTGAGGCCGCCAAAGCTGACGACCCTCCTCTCCTTCCCACGCCTTCGGACATACCCAAATACGACGATGCTGGCCTCGCCAGCGTGAGGGGCATATCCACTTCACCCTCCATGCTGCCCCTGCGAATTCACGGCATGTTTTAATTGGGCCCACAGAAATTCTTCGCGAATGTGCATCACCTTTCTGGGGAAAGATATTACACGAAAATGGCACGATTAGGATGACGCGATATCGGTTCTATAGTAACACAATACACTAGGGAAAAAAGTGCCAAACAACACGTGTTCAAACGTGTACAAAGTTTGCGGGTTTGTGTTATTTTTGTGTTCTTAGCGTGCAAAACTTCGATGAAACGTGTTTTATGTGTGTTCGCAAAAGTGTCATTTGGCCCTTTTTTCCCTGGTGATATGAAACAGTTGCAAAGAGCGGAGAACGGGAATTTTTGCCATTGGCAGGACAGTTTCCAGCAGTTGCCATCTGTATATGCGGAATTGCACTAAAGGCATTTTTCTTCGCCAATTTCAGGTCTAATATCTTCAAGGAGTTGCAAGGCAGTCTGTTTGCGAATTGCCGTTTCAAGTGACTCAATCTTCTAAATTGACAATTCGCTTGTGGCTGTGCCACAAATATACAGGAATCTCCTGTTGTCGGGGTTGCCATTTGGTTCATCATAACGCCAATAGCGCCAATGAGAAAGGCAGAAATTGTGTCAGCGATACCCGTACGGGGACCCCTTGATAGTGAATCGCCTCGGCGTGCAGCCGACTTGGGTGTCAGACTGCTGCCTTCGCACCCGTTTGCCAATTTCCCGTCTCTCGCGCGCCTCGCCGTAGCGTCCTTCAAATGGTGAACTGAAGCGTGATTTATTCGTCCAGCTGCTGATTTAGATCAAATACGTCTCCCATCAACGCATAGCACTGCGGCTGCGCAGCTACGCCAGAGGAACCCAATGCATTCGTATCGTAAAGTTGTAGCAATTGCTCCGGAAGATACGATGCTGAGCTGGACATCCTGCAAACCAGTTGCTCAGTGACGTGAAATCTTACATTTCTCTTGAGGAGGAAGATCTGACGAGGGCTGGGCAGGTGCTCGGGCGGATAGGCGACCCGGCTCTGGGGCGCCCCACTGAAGAGGCCCTGCCTAGCGACCTGTGCCCTCGGTGCATGGACAGGCGAGACACTCTGCGCCTGTCCTCCTCGTGCTGCTCCTCCCATGCTTCGGAGCTGTAGTAAGGCTTGATCGCCTGGATCTTGTTGTGAATCTTCATGTTCTGCTCACAAGGGATACGCAGCGTCCAAAATGGCCGACTATTACCGATATTGTTGCGTCTACTGAAAAGGCCAGGAAACCCAGCCATTGCTGATCCAGCAGCCACCAACTCCCCCCTGAGCTCGATGTCACCGTGCAATGCATAAAGCCGCGTTTCGACAATTATAGATGTGAATAAAGTCATGGCACCAAAACCCACGAACTGAGACAATATAGTGAGTGAACATCATGTGGCACCGTGCATCAAAAGTTCCACCCATATTCGCCGCTGCAGCCCATGTGCGCCCACTTAGCCACTCACGTTTCCTGAAACTACGTGGTACAGTCCACAAATACACACGCACATGGTAGTTGCGCTGACCAATTTCAAGTTGCACTCATGAGTTTTGAAGGCGTCAATTTGCAGTTGCCCCGAATTCCATTTCCACTGCAATTTTCCATGCAGGACGAGGGCTGGTTTCCAGCTTCCGCAAAAGACTTCAAAAAAAATCAGTTGTGGGGCTGACACCACGTTTACGCTGGGAGCTGGCTGAGCAAATTTGCAATTCAGCAGGCAACAAAAGAATCCAAGAGATTTTAATGGTTGCATTCACTCATTGTAACAAAGAGTTACTTGGCGCGTGCGGGCAGCTTTGCGGGAGTCCCTCACCTCTCTCGTCAGGTGCAGATGTTCCTCTCGCTCCTTAAACTTGCTGCGACCACCACTGGGGGACCTCGAGGACTTTGCGGGCTGCCAGCAGTCGATGTGTGTCTGGCTGCTCACAGAGTCGTAGCACAGGCCTTGTCTGTAGTTTAGCGAAGTGCGTGCCTGCCAAGGCCTCAGTCGGCCTGGGGTTTCGGAATTGGCGATGCGGCTCATTTTCTCCAGTAGGATGCGGTTCTCCTACGAAGCGATTCAACGTAAGTAAGCTTAGAAGCTGCGCGTGCGTTCATGCCCCGGCATTGATCAAACTGATCAAAATAAGGAATCAAAGTCGGGGAATTTTCTTCAGTGCGCTTGGTTCTGATGCAGTTTTATTTGGTGCGTTGTCCTTCTAGTGCACTGCCCTTAGCTCTGATTACCCAGCTCTCGATTGACGGAGTCCGGTATTTGCACAGCAATATGTTTTTTGCGAAATGCGCATCGGCTTGGAGGCGAACGGAATAGGAAATGTGCTTTCCCATTCGCAAATATCTGGTTTGATTCTGATGGATTTCTCGCACCCGCGAGATGCTGCATCGTCTTGTCTTGTCGCTCACCGCTCCCAGAAATTGGGTTGCAGAAGTCTCACAATGAAGACAGACGTCCACCCGTACTCCCAGACACAGATTTGAATTAAGAATCCCAGCTTTCGCAGGGTAAGGCGGTCGAATTCGATAGCAATGTGCAACTTCTTTCCGCCAATTGGACGGAGGGAAATTTCAAAGTTGAGAGGCGGTTTGGGCGGGGAATGCCCATTGACCACTCATAGGGGCCCTCGATTTACCCAGTAGCCTCCACGCTCCACCAGACATTTGACATTAATGTAATATTACCGCCTTGACTCTATGAATTTGCCACATACGAAGTACTGGAGTCGGGCACAATGCGCCACCCTCGTTGTGCCCAGAAAGAATCAACGTACTACGTC